GATTAGAAAGAAATAACCCCAGCCAGCAGGGAACGTTCCCCCAGCTTTGGCTAACATTACCTACAAGTTCTAATCATGTTTTAAGAAAACTTTTAATATAGCCTAATGTTCGAAGGACCTTTCAATGATGTTTATCATTTCAAATAATGTTGCTATAAGTTAACATGTCAACTGAGGCATCTTGTTTTTACTTACAACATTCAGAAGATGTTTTGTTATTGTGAGGGCCACAGATTATGACATGATGCGTAACATTCTCAGAACTTTTTAGAACAAAAGATTTCTAGCTGGGAACGGTACAAACATGGACGAATTATGCCTATCTAAGCCCCGCAGAGCGGCATCGTAATTTCGATATGCGACTTGAGGAGGGAAAACACGGGAACTCAATTAACCGGAACAGGTGCAACGTTCTCCTCTCTGCGTCTCTCGCTAAGCTCATGTCTCTGAACACATCAGGATTGCAGTGCTGTTGCGGCCGGAGCCGCTCTGGGGTGCATTTCCCGCACAACGACGGAGGGTCGCACTGAATTAACATAGCTCGATATCGTTCAACTAAACCTGCTGAATAAATAAATAAATAAATACACCATTAAGTGTTTATTTTGGTTCCTTTTTTTGTAATGTGTAATTCGTTTTGTAATGTGTTTTGACATTTTTTAATGGGTTGACATCACAGTGTAAAGGATCCTAATGGTTTAACAAGTGACCAATGGCTGATTCTAAATGCATTTGACGGTTTCGTAAAGGGATCTAATGCTGTTCTACAGGAAGACATTGAGCCAATTCCCATTAGAAAGCAAAATCGTAATGGTTTCTAGTGGTCCTTTTTTAGCATGGAACTGACATCCGAAGTACGACGGTTTCCCAAAACGTGTTGGTTCCACTGTAGTTTGAATCATCTTATAGTCCGAACTACAGTGTTTCCAGATGTGTTCGTTCTGACCTTCACAGCGGGAAACTAATTTACAAACTCACACATTTTGTAATATTATGCCAAAATAAGACAGTTGTGACTATAATTAATTTATTATTTAGTTTGTGCGTACATACACAACAGGTGTAATATTAATAGAATTAACAATTAAAACGGAAAAAAAGGAATTAAAACAATAGCCTAATAATAACAGGCAATGCTTCTTGTAGAAGAAAAAAATAGAGGAACTGCTGGCTAGTTCAATAGATTTATAGGCTCCATCTGCACATACGTAAAAAGAAAAAACAGTTATCAATACACAGCTCGACATTTTTTAACAGCCATATAAATAGAAAAGACCTGGCTTTTATTTTACTTTTAACTTCATTCATTGTTTAGGACAAAACTTTAAACATCTATTCAAACACCTCAGTGTCACTGCTGGACTGATATCCAGCCGACAGCGTCCTGTAGGCAGCGTCCTGTGACCACTGAGTATGCAGAGAAACAGATGGACTACAGTCTGTAATTATAGAACTACAAAGTGCACCTATACAGTAAGTGGAGCTGATAAAACGGACAATGAGTGTAGGAACAAGGAGGTGGTCATAATGTTACACCTGATCAGTGTATATTTTGGTTTTCTGACATTTAAGTTAACCTATATTTTGCCCTGGTGATCTTTGTGCCTATGGTGATATCCACAACCTAACATAAAATAAAACGTAGAGTATTTCAGTAGGATTTTTTCGCCATATGATCATGAACTTATGCAGGCTGTTTCATTATATAGCAGTGTATAGATAGATATAGATATAGATAGACAGCATATAAACTTTGTTGGCCAGCTTCTTGGACAAGGATTATGCATAGTTCTGGAAATCACAGGATTTTAAATGGAGATTTTACATTAAAAGGAAAAAAAATGACTAGGCTTGAAACAAAGTCCATGACTAGGCTCAATTCCTGGCCTTACGAGTTGGCTTTGTTTAACTGATTATCGCTACAATAAAGCTAATTTCCACTTGTATCTCTATGTGATTGTTACAGAGTGTATGTAATGGTGTGCATAACAGTGTATTCACTTTCACATACAAAGTTTGATACTCCTTGGGACAGTTGTAGTTTATAAACTGACATTTAAAGCATGTAAGATGTGCATGTAAAATACTTTATTTAGTATTTTGCAGTTTTTTCAGTGAATCCTCTGGTATTGGTGTTTAAAGTTAAAGGCTGTCTCGAAATATTATTGTAGAAACCTGTTAGCTGTCTGGGAAACTGGTTGTTAAAAATGTAGGAAGCTGTAAAAATTAAGAAATGCTCTATGATGAACAGAGCTGCAGACGATTATATTAAAATAGAAAAAGCTGTATAATATTGAGAATAAACTTTCAGAATGTCCAGAATGCCTCATGTTTGAAAGACAATGATCAAGTAGCTATTCATAGTAATTTATATTAAGAAATTAATATAAATAATTGTGTTCATTATATAATAACATTAAGTATTTTTGTCATGTCGTAATTTCTTTTTGTTCCCAAAGTATTTTCCCTTCTGAACAAACCTTTGGTTTATGTTTTAGTGTCTAGTTTATAATATTTCAGTCAACACTGTCATTATATGACAAGTGATTCCAAAGTTTTAAACGGTAGTTCAACAGCAAGCTTTCTATATTTTTTGTAATACCTTTCTGTAAAGGGCTTTTAGAGGCATTATACACTTTAGAGGTCTGGTTCCTGTCACCACCGCTCTGAACAATTTTGACTGATTACGTTTCTCTAGAACCACTCTGAATTACTTTGTTTACATGTTTACATTTAATTATGTCAAAATTTGAATCCGCTTAAAAGATCCAAATGCTATTCTGTGGCCTTCAAAGCAGCTATGTCAAGTACAGTCACATATGCAGTTCTGTGCAAGTGTCTTACACATCCAAGAAAATTGTTAGCAACTATTTATCTCATCAGTGAGTATATTTTTACTGTTACAAATGTAGCAATTCTAATAATATAATATTAGAGTACATGAATATAAGTAACAAGACTTTCTTGTTTTTAAAAATGTGAGATGTTATGAGATAATGACACAGCCAAAGTATGGACATGTCCTCCACGACAGTACACCTGATTTTGACTTTTGATTAATCCATAATCAAAAGCTAATCAGTACAATTTTATAAGTTTTGAATATGTAGATCTGAAATCTGTGTTTTTGTGTGCATAGTAAAGATCTCTCCAAAATAATGAATCTTATTTAATATAAAAGAATTATGAAACTTTCTGTATAGTATGTTTCCAGTTTTATCATCTTATTACTAAACCAAACTGAATTTAATCTGTTCTTGTATTAGACCATTTTATTATTTACAGGTGCTGTAAGGAAGATTCCAAAAAAGCTACCAATGTGGAAACTAAATGCAGAAACAGTTGGTTTGTAGCTTGTGTTGGGCATTTCATAAGCATTATGTATTCTTAAGTATTATATATTCTTAATTATCTGGAACTGCACTTAATTTCATGATGATTCAGATTCATTTTAAGAATGTGAGTTTTATAAAATAAAGTTTCATTAACAGTGTCTTGTGTCTCCTTTGTGTTTGGGTCCCAAACCAGAGCTAAAGTCTTGCTTGTAATAAGAGCGAAGTGTATTTTGTAACCATAATAGTGCAAAAAATTGACTACTAATGAATGTTTTGTCCTTTAAGTGTGTGTGTGTGTGTGTGTGTGTGTGTGTGTGTGTGTGTGTGTGTGTGTGTGCGCGTGCGTGCGTGTGTAATTTAGATTTAGTTTTAGCTCTGTACGTGTGGTTTAGCTAATAATACAATGATCATTTTCATGTATATACATATATTACTTACAACAGTAAACATCTATTCATACCATAAAATTCAAATATTCAAGAAAATTATGTTAATTAAGCACAAAAACCGGGCCAAGTCTGCTGGCCCAACTTTAGGCCGATGTCAAAAAGACACTGGCCCTAGTCTGGCGAACGGATTAGGCCCAGCTTCACGCCAGCACGCATTGGCTGTCTGGGTAACGACGACTTATTTCACTCGCAAACGTATTTTTTTTAACTTGATTCCAGTTTCTGTGGTGGAAAATACATCAGAGGGAACAGCAGTTGTCTTTAGCAGAGAGCATTTAGAGAAATCCACTTCGCGTTTTTTCACTGGTCTTGAGAAGTCTTCGTCGGGTTTTAGCTTAGTTTGTAGAGTTGTTCAACTTTGCTTCAAAACAGTTAGCCACAGCTTCAGGACTTCTGGTACTGAATGAATAACCTTAATCACATAAGCAATGAGTTTTGCTGACGCCGTGTGACGCAACGCCGCAAATCCAAACAACACAAAAGGGCGGAGAGGTACATGCAGGGCGGTGTAAGGAAAAATTGTACCCAAAGAAAACAAAATTTGGTGAAAGTATCACTATTTTACCATTATTGGCGTGACATATTAAACTTATAAGACACACGTAAGCTCATTGGTCATTTTGGATAGCAGTTAAAACGGTGATATTTGTAGGTTAGACCTAAGGATGTCTGGTTCCTAGTACTACAATGTTGAACAATTTTGACTCTGTAAATTTTTTCTAGAAAGGGGCATTTCACACCAAACCACTCTGAATGATTTTGTTTACATCTAAGCCATTGAATGATTAAGTAATTTAGCAAAATTGGTGGAGCTCCTCTTTAAGAGTCAGAAGACGTTGTCGAAGTTGTCTCAGCACTAAGAAAGATTTATTATTTTTTCAGTGGTGTTCAAAAGGAGAATGATAAAGACACACACACACACACACACACACACACATACACACACACCCCGAGAGATTTGGAGAAAACTTTACGTACAACAGTATGAGTATTATGCAGTTTTCTGTATTTTACAAAGGGCAAACTCGTATTTAACAACTGAAAAAATACCATGGCATAGCATGCGTAAAAGGTTTTTAAAAATATTTTCTGAAATTCCTCAGGACTGCATTCCTGACTTTTAATTGTGGGATAACTTTGACACACCTTAGATCAATTGATTTCCCTTTAAACCTCTCAACCTTATATTTTAAATTAAAAAGAAAAATGAAGCATCTTAAGATTAGTTCATCGAGTGATTTTATTAAGACATGGCTCTGTCAGAGAAGAACTGCGTCAGTCGACGGTCTTTTCCTATTGGTAGTTTAGCGGTATCTCTCAGCCAGACACCAGGCCACGTTCTGCAGGAACTTGTCCAAAGACACGTGAACTTCAGGTGTGAAGTCAGCAGGGAACAGCATGGCCACGACCACAATGAGGTTGTGCGCCAGGATCTGAGATTGAAGAGAAATAGAATGTTGTTTTAAGAGAATAGTGAATATGATGTCTGTTTAGCTGTAATTTGAATATTTATACTGTTCGTCACAATCACGTGTATTTGAAAGTAGACCTACCTTAAAGTTAGCAGGGTCCACTCTAAGTTTGGAAGCGTGCAGTTCGCTGAGCTGAGACAGAGCTCCAGGAAGGTCGTCAATATGGGCCACTGCATCGGCGACGGCACCCATGATGGTCTTTCCATGCTTCTTCACTGGAGCGGATCCAGGACTCAGGTCAGCCCAGTGGGAGAAGTAGGTCTTGGTCTGGGGGTACACGGTGAGCATCCTGATGGAGAAAATACAGATTGGACTCAACAAAGAGGCAAAAAACATACATCACAAGACCGGTTCAGTTCAACTAAATTCATCTGATTGTAAAGCAAAGCGTCGTGGTCTCTAAATAAACGGCAAAGATTTGAATTCTTGCTCACTAGTGTAAATTGCGCTTTCTTTTTTATAATCAACTCCAGATATACAGAACTGAATTACCTGCCCAAGGCTTCAGCTCCGATCTCATCAGCCTTGGAGGAGATTTTGCCCCAAAGGCCTTTCACCGCAGACACGTCCTTAGCAGTGAGACTCATCGCTACGTCTTCTTCTCAATTCAGGATGAATTCAGAAAAAAGCTCCTGGTGAACTTGATATTTTTGACGGCCTTTATATGAAAACTAGAAACGGACCCACCCAAACATTTTATCCAAACCACACCTCCGGGCTCCACCCAGCCTAGTCAAAACTGTGCCAGTTTTTAGCCTGGTATAATCCAGATAACAAAAATATTTTTCCCCCTTTTTGGGAGAAATCTGTATTAGCGCTGTTCTTTAACCTTGACCTTGCTGACCTACCTTCAACTCAAATAAACATTTTAAATGAAACACTTTAAAGCAAGTGTTTAAAGTATTACGTTTAGATAAACAAGATCAACCTTTTGCTTAAGTATTTATTTTTTTTTTTTTACCGTGCAGGAAAAATAGAGGCATAGAATATCACCCGTTTTGGTTGTGTCTCATCCTATATATATATATATATATATATATATATATATATATACATATAAGCGAAGCGAAGGGTTTAGATTTAAAAATACAGTTCTATTCCAATATATGTATAAAAAACATTTTTGCATAGATTTATGTAAAGCAAATAGTCCCTTTTATTTATTAAGACAACGTGTTTACGAGCGTAACCTTCCAAATTAAAACTTCAAAATACCAGAAGTTTTAAAGTGTCAGATTTAAGGCAAAGCCAGAGTTTAATTATGTTAAATGGTGCGTGTTAGGGTATTGTTTGGGGTTCTCACATTCAGAGCTCTGTCTATCTTGCTGAGAACAGGTACATGCCCTTTTTCACAAGTTTGAAGCATTTATCAAATATAATTTTGTTTATTTGTTTAATGCACTTTAGTCTTTGGAATGCATTTTGGATGAAACAATGTGTTTGAAATGTACCTCACATAAATAAATATATGCCCGTGTATTTTTCAGTATGTTATGTTTGCACCTGCGATTTATTGCTCTGAAATCATCTAATTCTATGAAATACAGGAGCTTAAATAGCTTATATCTGTGTCTACAGTAAGTTTGATTTGCTGCATCTTTTTTAGACCTTTAAAAAGCCCATTAATAATAATAGTTTCTATGAAATCCAAGGTCACTGACACTACTTGTTTAATTAATAATTGCTAAACAATGTAATACAAATACCAGTAAATAGTCGATTTCAACCTTCAGTCAATCTACAGCGTAGTTAAAGTGTGCTTGAATACTGCATATTCTTGCAAACATATTGCCGTACAATTTTTAAAGTATAACAGCTATATCTTGTTTTAATCTTGATAATATTTCTAAGAATATGTCTGCCAACAATTTTTTGGATAGAATTTTGTCCAGTCATGTATGCTCTACGTCCGAAGAGAAATGAGCCAATCAAATTGTGCTCTGTCTGGAGGGCGGAGACGTTCAACTTTAATAAATTGTGCCCGGTCTCTGTACTGTGAAAGGGATTTCTGTTTAACATTTTCAAGCAAGTTAGTGAAGAGACCCTAAACCGTCAGTATGGTTGAGTGGACAGCTGCCGAGCGCAGTGCCATCACTGGCCTGTGGGGAAAGATCAGTGTCGATGAAATGGGACCTCAGGCCCTAGCCAGGTAGCTCTCTACGTTTGTAATAGTATCTACATGTTAATTGACTTGTTCTGTAAGTGGATAAACCTGTAGAATTGAATTCCTGCTGCGGCTTCTTCTTCATGCTCAGTTCTTCTCGATTTCAGGCTCCTGATCGTGTTTCCATGGACTCAGAGGCACTTCGCTTCTTTTGGTAACCTTTCCAGCCCCGCCGCTATCATGGGCAACCCTAAAGTGGCTGCTCACGGTAGGACCGTCATGGGTGGGCTGGAAAGAGCCATCAAGAACATGGACAACATCAAGGCCGCCTACGCCCAGCTCAGTAAGCTGCACTCTGAGAAACTGCACGTGGATCCCGACAACTTCAGGGTGGGTTTCTCTAGGACTCTAGGCTTTATGTTATCTCATAATGTCGTTCATAGTCTGATTTTCTAAGTTTTTATGTTTTTTTTTTATAATTAATTTATGCTAGTAATCCAAATTATTGATTTCAAAGTGTTAACAGTAGTTATCCGCCTCCGTGCGAATATTTTTTTGCGATTGTTTTGTTTCTCCAGCTTCTTGCTGACTGCATCACCGTATGTGTGGCCATGAAGTTCGGACCCTCTGCCTTCACCCCTGATGTGCAGGAGGCTTGGCAGAAGTTCCTGGCTGTCGTTGCGTCTGCTCTGGGTAGACAGTACCATTAGTGTCATTCTCAGCGAATGAGACAAACAGCTTAAGACCAATTCAGTGCACAAAGCTGTCGACAAAAATGCTCTGACAAATAAATAAACCAATCAAACGCACCTGTCTAGTTGTGTAATTTATTTCAATCATTTGTAATCATATGGAGGAGCACTTCGCAAGCATGCATGATATCAGTACGTCTCAGCCAACAGTTTAAAATGTTTATTCCCTGCAGCAATACGATGTCATACCAATGGCATCAAAGGTTTTCAGTCACGTTGTATCAAGTATTTGAAAAAAAGGAATAAAAACAGACAGCCAGCTGTTTTCACGTTACAGCTGTCAGTCCGAACTGACTGACAGCCCATTTTCTGGTAGTCTGTGGAAGTAGACACATAAATATATTTTTTGTTAACACTAGTCGGTTATGGTCACTCTAATGACTGTAGTATCAGCCATAATAATTGTTACAGTGTAAAAAAGCATATGTTTTCTGCTGAGTTAAGGAATCTTGTGGCAAATTATTGCGTTTTGAAACCCTGGTTGGCCGATATGCAAATTTCGTCACATTACCAAGAACACCTTATACCTTATACAACCCCATTTCCCAAAAAGTTGGGATGCTGGGCAAAATGCAAATAAAAACAAAATGCAATGATGCACAGATAATTTAAACCCTGTATTTCATTGAAATTAGTACAAAGACAAAATATCAAATGTTGAAACTGAACAAAAAGAAGCACCTGGTGGTTGATTGACAACAGGTCAGTAACATGTTTGGGTATAAAAAGAGCATCCCAGAGAGGCTGAGTCTTTCAGAAGTAAAGATGAGGAGCGGTCCACCACTCTGTGAGAAACTGACCGATCAAATAGTGCAACATTTCAAGAATATTGTTTCTCAATGTAAAATAGCAAAGAACTTTTGCTTTTCATCATCTACAGTATATAATGACATTAAAAGATTCAGAGAATATGGAGAAATCTCTGTATGAAGGGACAAGGCCAAAAACCAATATTTGCTGGACATGATCTTTGGGCCAGCACAGCACTGCATTAAAAACAGACATGATTCTGTAGTGGAAATCACTGCATGGGCTCAGGAACACTTCTGAAAATCAGTGTCTGTGAAAACAGTTTGTCGCTGCTTCCACAAATGCAAGTTAAAACTCTAAAATGCAAAGAAGAAACTGTACATAAACAGGATCCAGAAACACCGCCAACTTCTCTAGGCCTGAGTTCATTTAAAATGGAATAAAGGGAAATGGAAAAGTGTCCTCTGGTCTGACGAATTCACACTTTTTGGAAATCATGGATGCTGTGTCCTCTGGGCTAAAGACCACTCAGCTAATTATCAGTGCACAGGTCAAAAGCCAGTTTTCATGATATTATTGTGGGGCATTAGTGCACATGGTATGGGTGACGTGCACATCTGTGAAGGCACCATTAATGCTGAAAGATATAAACATGTTTTGGCCACATCTGCTGCCATTTAGATGATGTCATTTTCAGGGAAGGCCTTGACTATTTCAGCAAGACAATGACAACCCACATTCTGCACGTATTACAGCAGCATTGCTCCGTAGTAAAATAGTCTGGGTGCTAAACTGGCCTGCCTGCAGTCCAAACGTGTCACCCACTGAAAACATTTTGGGCATTATGAAATGAAAAATAAGACAAAGGAGACCCTGAACTGTTCAGCAGCTGAAATCCTATATCAAACAAGAACGGAAAGACATTTCACTTTCAAAACTACAACAGTATCTCCTCAGTTCCCAAACATTTTTAAAAGAAGAGGTGATGAAACACAGTGGTAAACATGCCCCCGTCCCAACTTTTTTGGAACGTTTTGTTGGCATCAAATTCAAAATGTGTATATATTTTTCAAAAAACAATAAAATTTCTCAGTTTCAATGTTTGATATGTTGTCTTTGTAGTATTTTCCTTTAAAAATATGGTTTATATGATTTGCATATCATTGGCTGGCTTGTCAGATCGACTTTAAAAACTACTTCATGTGGAATTAAGTAAATTAACTAGTTTTATTCAACCTAAATAAATACTTTGAATGAACGATTCTTTCTATCAATATAATTTTTTGAGTTGAATAAATCTAGTTTAATTGCTTGTTACCACATGGAGTAATTTTTTTAAGTAGATCTAATAAGCCACTTTTTACAGTGCAACAACCAAATGGCTACTGAACCCGGGATCCCAATAGCTAACAGCAGCAATGATTTTATACATTTTTTTCTATAATAAAACAATCAGGCAAAAAATTTAAAAAAACAGTCAACCTCTACAAACCTGCTGCCCTACAAAGCTAACCCAGCTCTCAAATACAGCGTAACTACTGCAGAGAGGCTGGAATCATTTACCTTACTTCACCAAACTGAGCTGGATAAAATTATTTCCTTTGGAAAATCTTTTACTTGCATATTAGCTCCAATTCCTACATCTCTACTCAAAGAGATTTTGTCAGACATAACCAAGTCTTTTCTATCAATAATAAACTCCTCTCTTAGCCTTAACTATATACCAAAAACTTTTAAGCAAGCAGTAATTAGAACTCTGATTAAGAAACCTAAAGTTATCAAATTATAGATCTCAAATCTTCCCTTTATATCAAAGATTTTGGAAAAAGCTGTGGCACAACAATTTGCATAGGGCTCACATACACGAAAAATTCCAGTCTGGATTTAGGCCCCATCGTAGTACATAGACAGCACTAGTAAAATTGTAAGTGATTTCTTATTATCCTCTGGCCAAAGAAATGTATCTTTGCTGGTTTTGCTTGATTTTAGTGCAGCATTTGATACGATAGACCACTCTGTCTTACTAGACTAGAAAACCTTGTAGGCATAACAGGAATAGCTCTTTC